GTCGAGGCCTTCTCTTGATATCGAGTTGCAACACAGGCACAGAATATAAGGGCGTAAAAAGATCTGTCACGACTAGTAGAAACATGCTTCCCTCATAAGGAAGCTCATAAATGTGAGAAAGTTCTCTCAGTTAGGCTAGGCCGTCAAAGCTAAGCATTAGTAAAAGAGGAAGGATTTTCAGAAGCTGTCAGTCTAATTACAAGGGGAGCTTTATTTTGCTTGAAGTACAAAATCATCACTAGAGTTTATTTTACAAATAGTCAAAAGAAGAAACGTCAAGAAGTCTGCTGATGACTTGGAGACAGAAATGCGGAAATGTTTGTGTCTGTGTGACCTTCCGTTCCCCTGAGCTGATTTGCATATACATATGTTTATGTGTTTATTGTGGATGAGTGTCTGTAGGGCAAGTATAGGTTATCGAAGGGTAACTAATCAAGGTTGAGACAGATTCCATCTTGAACGAAATAGTGTAACCAGAAGGCAGCTGTAAAACTAAATCCTGAGAATTGGATAAAAGAAATTACATGAGGGTCACATCCTTTTTCGATTCTGAATTTGTGAAGATAATCGCTTGCGGAAGCACGAATGTGCTTGATAGATTGTCGTTGCAGCCAATGAACGGAGAGGAGAAAGGACAGATTTGCCCTCCATTCAAAGTCTTGATGATCTTATGGAAAGAGTACTTATGGGCAGGTCAGTTTGGAAAAGGAATAGACGAGAGGCGGAAAAAAATTAGGCTCATTTTGCGTTAGAATCTAGGCTTTGGTGTAACTAGTGCATGTACAAGGAAGCCAGCTTGATAGACGGCAATGGCCTGGACAGCCTTGTCAGCCTCCACAAATCCGGCCACGAGATGCAGGCCTTTAAGACGGAGGTGGCCATGAGCTCTGAAAGCTGCCAGACAGACTGTAAAAATAATCTCCAGGTCATTGATGTGGTATAAATCCAGGTGGGATCACATAGTAACAGGTCTGTGACTAGGCAAAGCAGAACCCTTTCGGCTATGAGAAGGGTAAATGTGTTCGAGAGGGAGTTGCCTGGGAGACCAGAGGCCTCGGGCTGGAGTAAATAGCAAGACGTAATCAGGCGGTCCAGAGTGGTTGACAAGTAAGAACAACCGAATGAATGAACGAACACCATATTTGCCGAAATAAATGAAAAAAGCATAAAAATGATAAAAAGTATAGATATACAGTTGGAAGGAAAGCAGAATCCTATAAGATCTGGGTCAAGTCTGCCCGATTAACTCCTCTCCACCATGTGTTAGCATCGGTTGCTGCCGCAGAGGCATCGAGCAGCTGGCAGTAGCAGTGGATCCTTGCATTCCTACAGCATGGCCTGATGTGGAGGTTGTCATTCCTACCTCTGGGTGGCGAGCTTGCAACAATTGCTCTACTGAGTAGGCAAGCCTATACTTTTCGTTTTGGACAAGGCATACGGGCTCATCTCTTATTCGTGAAATATGGCCTGAGGATTTGGGGCTGGCTGAGCACTCAAAAGAGAGACATTTTGGCGTCCCAGACGGCAACAGTCCTAGCAGACTTGAAGTTTCGGGGTAATCAGGCTCGGATGAACTTGATTTCGTCATATTAACTATCCCTTCATCGTAGTCCTCATCTTCATTGTCATCATCTTTCCCCTTCTCCCTTTTAATCTCTTCCACCTTTTCCTGCCCTTCTTCTCCTTCCTCTTCTTCCTCCTCTTCCTCCTCCTCCACTGCTTCAACTTCTTCTTCCTCTTCTCCACCTCCTTCAGCCTCCTCCCCATCATTTACTTCCTCTCCATATTCTAATTCCTCAACTTTACCCCTCTTTATTCCCTCTGGACTTTCTACACCATATATACTGTCCTCTTGGTCAAGCTTGACTGATTTGCATAAACTATTGCGCGCTCCAAATTCGAGACAGTCTCGGTGGTTACTTTTCTTTCTCTTCAACAAGCTTCTCTTCCTTCCATTCTGACTTTCCGTCTCATTGATATCATCCACAGCTCTTTTACAAGCCAACAATGTATTGGACGCTCGTTGTTCAATCTCATCCGAATGCAGCCTCAGGGTCACCATGTTCGATCCTTGTATTTCACCATCTTCTTGCCTCCGGTTTGAAGACTGTTCATGGTACCGATTTGGCGTAGACTGAGAGCCAGACTCTAGTTGCAAGTTGGCTAATTGATGATCGGGGCTTTGTCCACTCAGCAAGGAGCTCGGGGAGGTTGGTGTACAGACACGGGTGTAGCTACCTTGGGAACTACTTGCCTCCGGTACGGCCTGAGGCACTGCTACTCGAGAAGGTGGATGAGATCGCTTGCGTTTGTGAGGAGCTGCATCACGGTAGACACTCCCTTCGTTGCTGTCCTCTACCTTCGTTGGCGTTGCCTCATAATCATCGTCACTATTGCCGTAATCGTTGTCATCGTAAACACGTAATCCACAGATATCCCCTAATTTATTTTTGGTCGTATACTTTATAGGATACGCAGTACCATTGACTAATTTTTTTGTTAGAGAAAAATTGAGTGTATTTTGGGTTGACTTTTCGGAATGCACGAGCTCAGCTTGTTCAGGGCCACACTTTACATCCTCGCTAAATGAACTAGGCATATGGAGTTGAACCTTTGGGAAAAATTGAGAGGAAAGGGAGAATACAAAGAATACCAAAGTTTAAGTAACTAATTAATTTATCTGCTTGGAAAAATAGCAAAACCTTTAAAAAAACTTGCTGTTGTTGGTCAAATTACATGAATCAAAAGCTTCTTTTCGATTACCTTCACCGCCATCACAATACTATTTTTCAAGCCCTAGTGTACCCTGTACTTGATCATTATTATTAAATGACGACTACTTGAAAAGAGCGATACGTTTCAATGATAGCACCTAAATAGAATGCATGAATGCAAATTAATTTGTAAAGGTAGGATTTCAAGGGTATTTCAGGGAAGTTGAGGCTCACCTGCTTAAATTCATTGGCAGTAGTACCATGCTGCGTCTCCATGTGGCGTCGTAAGTCTACCTTGCGTTGAAAAGCCCTGAAACAGCGAACACACGAAAATGGCTTGAAACCAGAGTGTTTACGCGAATGCGTGATCAGGTTGGAGGATTGGCTAAATGCTTTTCCACACTGGAGGCACTTGTATGGCTTCTCACCTAGTGTTAACAGCGTAAGGGGTAGGACAGTTGACACATAAGCAGTTGAAAAAACAATAAACAAAGAATTCGTAAATATAGAAACAATGATCAAAGTTAAATAGAGAAAATAAAAAGATAAAATTGTAATTTTAGCTCTACCTGTGTGAATATAGGTGTGCTTTTTCATGTCCGACTTCTGGTGGAATCGCTTGCCACAGTACTGGCAGGGGTAAGGCCTGGTGTCGCTGTGAATGAGAAGATGTGTGCTGAGCGTTGACGATCGCTTAAAACTTTTGCCACATTGATAGCAATAAAAAATCTTATCATTGCCCATATTCTGCAGGCTCTGACCCTGCACCAGACGGCCTGCAGTCAGGTCAACCTCAGTCCCTGCCTGATGGCCCGGAGACCCGGCCTCCTCAAAGCCTCCACGACTGAGAGTCCCGCTAAGAAACTCGTAGCCACTGACCAGGCCTCTAGAACAGCTGCTGGTCTTCCTCGCTGTACTCATATCAGGTGAAGAACTAACTGTCTCCATTGTGCTACCCAAAATACTTGTAGGCGCGCCTGAATTTGTTGTGGACGTAAATGTTGTCGTCGGTAGGGTATTAGAGGCAGAGGAACCTGAAGCCGCAGCAGCGGCCGCGGCTGCGGCCGCTGCTGCCGAAAACAGGAAAAGTGAAGCAGGATTAAGTTGCCGGCTGGAACGGAGACCAGTTTGCTGACCAGAGGGTGGGGAAAACTGGTCTGAGTTTGCCGGACCTGGTAAGCTTTGAAGCCCGAGTGCAGCAGGGGAGGGCCAACTAGTCAATCCAGTGAGCGGATAGTTGCCCAGAAGAGTGTTGCCGGAGGAGGGACAGAGGCCCGATCCAGGGCCATTAATAGCATTGGCTAAACTGGACAAGTGATGCGGCAGACCAGAGAAGAAGGATGAAGATGGAGCTGGTGAGATTGCCTGTGGAGGCAAGGGGACCGCGGGAGAAGGAGCAAGCGACAAGGCCATACCAGCAAGCAAACTGGACCCTGACGAAGGTAAATGCTTTGGTCGGCTAAGAAGGCCCAAACGCTGAGAAGTTGACTGATAAGCTAGGCCTGTCGAAGTTGGGTTGCAAGTTATCGGGGACGAGGTCTGAGACTCGACAGAGATAGGCCCTCGACTGACACTGTTATGAAATCGGTTGGCACTTGAAGTAAGGCGACCAGAATGAATCCTGTATGGGAATGTGAATGACAGTTGTTGACGCGAGTAAAAAGACATTTATTTCACACATAATAAACATGCAATACATTTGGTGCTAAATTTATAAATGCTAGTATCCAGACAGCAATACAAAATTTACTAAAAGCGAAGGAAAGATGTATAATACCAGTGGGATGAAAAAGAAGAACTATCTGATCGTAGATAAGATTTCCAAGACAGTGTTTTGTTTAATTGCAGGTTAATTCGTAGTAGAGAGTTGGCTTGACATCGGTTTCGCTACTTGTTTGCGATTTTTAGAAAGAGAGCTAGAGATTGAAAGGATAAAATCTATATTAAATCCCTTGTTATTGGTTTCATATGTTATTCAAACTTAGACAAGCTCAGAAGTTGTTTGACCTTGTTTTCGCGACTTGGTCATATTGGTAGGAAGACTTAGAAGAACGCACCTAGTCCGGAGTCCATTGTATCCATCATCATTTCCAGAATAGGACCATGGACGTGGTCCATTGCCAGACGTTTCGCCGGCATCGTAGTCGGCATCTTCAGTGAGTCTCGCCATTCGTAGCACCATCTTACAACTCGTCAGAGACAAGTGAAGCCCATCATTTGACCAAACGTGTGCTAAACAGCTGTGGTATCTCCTCTTCTGCCCTGGGCTATTCAACTATTTAGCACACGTTTGGTGAAAGGATGGGCTTCACTTGTCTCTGACGAGTTGTAAGATGGTGCTAATAATGACGAGACTCACTGATGATGCCGACTACGATGCCGGCGAAGCTTCCGGAAATGTACCACGTCCACGGTCCTAATCTGGAAATGATGATGGATACAAGGGACTCCGGACTAGGTGCGTTCCTCTAAGTCTTCCTAACAATATGACCAAGTTGCGAAAACAAGGTCAAA